TATTGCCAATGGGTCTAAAACAAGACAAACATGGCAGCGTCATGCTGAAGGTCTATAAAGCCAAAGCTCAAAGTTTTACCTTAATAATGCCCAGGCTGCCATTCCAGACTCTTTCCTCAACATCTAGTATCTGTTCCCTGAGAAGTAACTCCAACGCTTCCTCCCCGTTGGCCTTGTCTGACACAAGGCCCTTCTTGCCACTGTTCATCTTGACAACCACCTGCCGGGAGACCCCATTCTGCTTGGTGTCTTTCTCCGCCTCCACCCCTTCTGCTGTGTCCTCCTTCTCTGAACTGTTCAGGGCCTTGGTGGGGACCACCTCCAGCGACTCCTCGATCCGCATCTTCTCATGGAGGATGGCCTCCTGGAGGGCCTTCTCCCGGAACCCGCGGCGATTCAGCGCAGCCAGCAAGTCCTCCAGCTCTTGGGGAGTACTGTAGAAAGCCCAGCTGCTGTGCTTCCTGCGCAGCATGCAAGGGTCCGGCTCTTCCTGGGGTTCCTGCTTGGCCTCTTGTATGACGCCGTTGACCAGGAGGGGCTCCTTGACCAGCCTCTCTTGCTGCTGCGCCGTCGGTCCCGTTTCCATCACCCCGTTTACAACCTCCAGGTCAATGTTCTCTTTGTTACTGCTAGTGGATGTATCCTGATCCTTATCACACTCCACATTATCCTGCTTGACTTCTGGTAAGCCTACAACAGGCAAAGCCGGCTTGCTCTCCACTCGTTGAGGAACAGGGTTGAGGTCTATGTCACCAAGGTGGGACGGATCATGCTCCACGAATAATCCTTGGATGGCGCTGAACAGCCAGAAGCGACGGTATATCCTGTCTTCCCCCAGTGGCATAATGCTGTAGCGTGTGGCTGCTTCGGCCATCTCCAGGCGGTACTCCCGATTCTTCTTGTGGAATTCTGCTTTGAGGGCTGCGTTTTCTTCCTCCTCCCTTTTCTGTCGGGCATCCAGCTCTTCCTGCGTGGGCAGTGGCTTCAGGTTTTCCAGCCTGGCATTGATGTCTGCAAGCTCTGCTTCATCCTCTGTCTTTTGGCCGTTCTTCTGGGCCGGTCTACTGGCCTGATCCATGTCCTCCGTCTCTGAACTGCTGTCCAGGTTGATAATTTCTGCCTCGGCACTGGCCAGTTGGTCTTGACGCAGCTGCGCTTCGCGCTCTCGATCTCTCTGCTCCCGTCTCAATCTCTCATGCTCTTTCTCCAATGCTCGCTCCTCCAGTCGCCGCTTCCACCTGCAAATGTTACAAGTCATTTTGGAACAGGATAAATATCTCATGGTACGGTTGTGCACAGGAACGATACAGCCTAGTACTAGACCATTAATGTCTGGAACCAATTCCGAATTATGAGATTGGGAACTGCTTGGTAACCTGTCAGGTAGAGAAAAGGAAAGGTTTTGAAAGTTTCTGGTGAGACGTTCAAAACAAAAATTCAATACCTATGTGTATGTATCTTGATACCTGTTAATGGTGTCACATAGTATAAACAATGTAAACATAAGAACAGAAATAATTTATAACTTGTTTGTTGGATATGTCCAAAGCTTGTTAATAAACAGCTTTTGAAAGACGTGGGCTCCTGTTATTCGTACCCAGGTCCTGTGATTTTCTCCTACAGAGCACATGCCTCCTGTGCTACTTGCAAAAGCATGTCCTTATTTTAAATGTTCAAAAAATTTGAGACAAGGCAAGTTTTTAACTCCACAAGTTTCAGTCTAACGTTTAAATTCTGAAAGTCGTCAGTACAGCGACGAGCTCATAAATCGCACAAACATGTCTTACTTGGCAGCTGCGTCCTCCCTCTCTCTGCGATGCTCTTGCCTGACGAGCTCTCGCCATTCCTTTCGAGATGTCTGGAAGGTTTCTAAGCTCTCCTCAATGATATCCCTCATGGTCACATAGGTCAAGAGCTGGCCGCACAGCGACATAAGTATCTTCAACTTGGACGCTTTGAACCAAGGGATTTCAAATGCTTTCATTTTAACAAGTAATAGGATTTTTCAAATTACATAGTTTAGTTTCAGAATCAAGAGCTGTAATCATAAACTAAATCTACCTCAACTCTGCATCAGTCACTCAACTTTGAGTAACTATCTAAGGCATTAAACCCTTTCACAATAATTAAAAAACTCAATGAAGATTGTCTAAAAACAATCTAGAAGTGTAGCTCTCATACACATGCATATACTCCGTTAGTTGTACTAACGACCAAATACTTCAATCGGCACACACAATGCACACTTTCATATCTGATTTTAAAGTATTCAGTTCTGACACTTTCACGAAATTTATTACATTGGAGAAGTATGCACCAGATACTAATTGACTGAGACACCTCCTGGGATCCAAGTAATTGTGAAGCCTAAAATCTAACTGGGCTTGGAACATTATTCTGAATATGAGCTGATACCATTCATCTTGTCGATACTGGGTACCTTTGTGACAGTACAGTAACCATGCTGAAATTATTACTATAACAAAGTAGCTTGTAAGTAAGACTTGACTTTGTTGCTGTGTCTTGTTCCCTAGTCCATTATATAAACTGTACACTGTTGAATGGGATAGTGCCAGACTATTTTATGATTGGATGTAATGTAAGCTTCACTTTCATTAAAATCTGGCTTAAAATGGGCGGATAAGTTTAATCACACTTTGAAATTATTCATGTGTTTTGTGTGTTGTGAAACTTTATGTTATAGCTTTCCTTTCTACTCTAAAGTTCCAAAAACAAAGGGGTAACCTCATTTTCAATTAAATATGGCCAACTCAAGAGACTGGTGCAATTGGAACACATCTGGCCAATTTCTGTGGGCTTTCTATCGTCAACAATTACGCACTCATTAGTCCAGTTACTCACCAGGAGGAAGGTCAAACATGTTGCCGGTGGTGAGGGTTCTGAGGATGTCGGGGTCCTGCATGCGGAACTCCAGGCCAGGGTCGTCGTGGGGAATGAACCCACCTCGCTGCTGGTACCGCCACTTGGTGTTCTCAGACGACGTGCGGGCGCCTGAGGACAAGAAGTGCAGGCGCAGGACTTCGGAGATGGTGGTGGAATCGACCGGCAGCTGGCGCAGCAGTGTACCTGGCAAAATTGCATAATCAGGGACCGAAATGAAACTTTTGAGAGAAAAAGAGAAAGCGTGGAAATGTTCAGGGATACCAAAATTAACAAGCCGCTCATCACACACATACAAATACCATTATAAGAGAAAGTCCTAAACATACGGAATCTAATAAAATGAATGTACTAATTTTCATTCTCAGAGATCAACTGCTCGAATGTTCAGGGGGTGAAATGAAGTAAGAGAAGCATGTTCACAAGTCCACCTCAACAGCGCCTGAATCCGACCTTCATGGCGGAACTAGATCACGTAATAAACAATGACAAAAGCATATCCTGTACCTTGATGTATCTGAGGCCAGACTAACGCCGATGTGGCGGCTTTGGTCATTGCAGTGTATGTTGGGTCATCGTCACACAATGCTTCAGCCAGGTCAGCTGTAAGAAATTTAAGAGAAGAAAAAACATTCATTAAACTGTGCCTTCAAAATAATCAACATAACTATATCAGAACCATATCAGCTTACATATTTTTGTTCAACAATGTGAGCATTAATTTTTTCAGCAAGAGGGAAAAGTAAACGATCATGATAAATGTCGGCCATGGCACTAATACAGCAGCTGTTGCAGTAGTGAGGCAGTTCCCTGACTTTAAACATCCTTCATCACCAGGCCCACTCAGGGAACTTTTCTGGGTTGTTCTCCCCCCGACAACTGCAACTCTCCCCCGGGTTTTCTTGGCTGGGATGACGATGATCTTTGCAAACTCAAGGCTGGTCACGGGTTCTTACCGGACGGAGCGTGATGCTGCTGTTCCTTCAGATCCACCTTCTCATCCTCTTCCTCCTCTTCCTGCATCCTGAAGATGGCCGACAGGAGACTGTTGACCAGGTCATAGTACATCCCATCCACCTTGTTGCTGAGCAACGCATCTTCAATTTGATCTGCATACACAAAGACACTCGGAATTTTGACCATCTCACTCAGTTTCTGGGAGACCAGGGGGTTTAAAAAAGTGGTCTTAAAAAAAAGGACAGTGAACTGAAAGCAATTCATTTTCTCCTTCCTCGGAAGAAGGGCCCTTTCAACTGAAAGCGCATGACCAGCGCACACCAAAAAAGTACACGGAAACCCTTCTTTTTTGACATCCTAATCAGTTCAACAGATTACATTCTTTGACAATCTGTTCAAGAATCTTGTATGAAAACTGAGACACTGTGTTTTCCAGACGATATGTTAGAAAATTGACTGCTTTTTGCATATCATACACTCACCGAGCGTGACGCCATTTGGAAACTCTTCGCTAAAGCCCAGGTAATCCTTAAAATGATAGATAAACTCCAACACCACCACAACATCACCAAATAATTCCTGAGGCAACTTCATGTTGACAGGTGATGGCCATGGTAGATCCTAACGCAAAACAAGTGACAAATATAAGTCTTCAAAGCCAATGGTCTGTTGCATGGTTCGGCTGAAAGTCAGGCTGCGGTGGAAAGCAGCTTTGACTAGATAAATGCTAAGCAACCAACAAGGTGACGACATAAAAGGATGTTTCATTGCACCATAGTGATTCTATGCTTAGGTGAATCTTAATGAACATTTATTACTTGCAAAGAACCTTTCCCCGAACCATCCACCACTGTATTACTCCACACTAGCTTGAAATGAGCGGAATATTTGTATACAACGTCACTCACTCTGAATGTGTCAAATGTCAATGTGCAACAAGTTACGCCAACTAGATGTAAAATGGACTCTGCTCTACAGGTACCACTTGATGGTAAAACATGTTCAACTCCACTAGCAGGTGCAACAATTGCAGGTGTAACAACTGCCCCACTTACCTTGAGATCATCGCATTCTAGATCATCTCTCATGCGGTTAAATTCCCTCCTGTGCTCGTCCTGTAGGCGTTTCTCCTCTCGCATAACTTCTCGTTCCTAGAAGCCACAACACAGAAGTTAACATGAGAGTCTTGATTGCTAAATTGTTGAAAAAACAATCTGTGGCCTGAAGCACTTCCCCAAAACTTTGAAATTTTGGTAAGTTTGATTATCTTGTTTGTTCCAAATGCACATCACATTTGGAGACTGTAAACTCATTTCTGGACAGTGGAACAAAATGGAACCGTATGGAGGTTTTTCAGTCACATGATTTTTTATGGCTTCGAAGTTGCTCAGCATTTTCACTAAAATCAAATCAGCAACAGAAATACATAGATTTAAGAGTATATGCGCTTCTGCAGGCCTGGCACACTTCCTGAACTGCATTTGCCTGCCACGTGACGTCACATGAAAAACTCTATACCAATCATGGGTGATCTGTTTCTCCCCGGTTCCAGCTCACAGGCCCGGTCACTGGAGATTGAGAGGTTAGTTAGCAAGAGGAGTTGAGGCACCAGACTCTCTGCTCGTACCCTGATTTTCTTGAGCCTGTCCTCCTCCATCACTTTCCTCATCTGCTCCTTCCTGGCTTCCTTCTCCTCCAGCTTCTGCATCCTCAGCAGCTCCTTAGCCCGCGCTCGCTCCTTGAGCAACTGCTCCTTGATCAGCTGCTTCTCCTGCCGTATCCTCTCTCGGATGGCCTCCTTCTCCTCCATGGTCAGCTTGGGCTTCTTCGGCTCAGCCGGGGGTGATGTCTTCTGCTTGGCCTTTGCTTCTATAAAATAGTTTTTCCCAACAGAGAGCAACAATGAAACAGTAAAGATCATTTGGACTGAATATGTCAATACATAAACAACGATAAAAAATTGTCAGGTAAAATCTTGTGAGTTGATGAAATACAGTGGATATCCTAGGCAAGATTCTCTACTGAGTCAATTTGAGGAAACTCTGTTGAAGATGGCTGAGTGCATTCAGCAAGTTACATCGCTTTCAGTTCTCTCTGGCAACTGAAAATGAAATATTATAGTTTATGTCTGCTTATTCAGAAACGCTGAATCATGTTATGAACACAAGCTCTGGGTGTTTACATCCAATTATTAACCCTCCTATGCTGAAGTCACTCTTTGGGTCATTTGGTGAACACCTTAAAGAAGCACAGCTGTGTTGTGTTGT